GGTTATTATTAAATTTGAGATACAGAACTTTTCTGAGTTTTCGATTTTATTGATTGCTATATGGACTGTTCCTGTTACGAGTGTTTGGTGAAAAGATCTTGAAGTCTAGACTTATGAAATTTTCATCTTCTTCCAATTTTACTTTAGATATTTCTTGTATGAATTTAGATGTATTACATATTGTGTTTCTTAATTCTTTTATAAATGTAAACGCATATTTTGATCCTCTAATGCTGAAAAGATCATCAATTGATAAAAATTCATGTTTCATATTTAAATTAATTCTATCATTTTTATGAAGCCTATTAGTGAGTTCTGTTATTTCGTTTTTTTTTCTCTTAGCTGTTGGATCTTTTACTTCCTCGTATTTTGATTTATGGTTTAATTTTTCTCCTATCTTATTTATATATTCAATTATACTCATTACAATAATTTTTCCACCTTTGTCAACTTGAACTATTATTATTCTACCATTATTCTTTAAGTCTTTTAGAGCTTTCTGTTTTCCTTTGCTTATGTTATTATCTTTCATCTTAGGATTTTCCCATTGTTTGACAAATGTTGTTATTTCTGAAATGGCTAATTGTTTAGTAATTATTGGTATTGTTGGTATTGTGCATAGTGTTGATTCAATATTTCATATTATTTCAATTAAATAGAATGTTTTTAGTGTTTGTGCAAATTAAAGTCCTCTTGATAGGATTTTAAGTTGGTATCTCGTTAATTTTACATTTAATCTATTTATTACAGTCGTTGTATCAACATCAAAGTCTGTTTTTCATTCCTTTTTGTTCATTCTCTAATGTTTTAAGTTTTTTTTTCATGTTTTTGCTGAAGTTTTATTTTAATATGCTTGACATGTTTGTTTATCCAATTCAAACATTGATGTGTTGTCTATTAGAATGTATTTTGTTCACGCATATGCTTATGATCTTCTCTTGTATAGCAATATTAATCATTAACAATGACTTTCCGAATTACTCGAAATGAATAAATATATTATAATTTTCTTATTTTTTAGATGTTCAGTAGTCGCTCAAGACATTCTCATTATCATCAAACAAATAGATCTTATTTTGGTATTCTACTTCTTCTTGCTGAATTAAGTCGTTCATCACATTTACCACCAATAACATTGACGATTATTATTCTTAATGTATTAATTTATTTTGATATATTTCCATTATTTGGTTTATCAAGTAATTTACAATCTGTTTGTGTTAGTACACATGCTGTACTTGATCAAGGAGATTATATGCGTATTTTACTAGCACCCTTCTTTCATGGTGATGATATGCATTTATATTATAATATGGCATCATTTTTATACAAAGGACAACAACTTGAAACTCTATTTGGTAGTCGATATTTTGCACTTTTAGTTACAATATTAACAATATCATCAAGTTTAATGCTTGTTATACTTGGTCAATTAGCATCAAGTTTATTGGATAATCCAGAATATTTATTTACATGTGCTGTTGGTTTTAGTGCTGTTATATTTGCATTAAAAGTTATAACAACACATTATACACCTAATTATAGTTCAAATTCATTGTTTGGTTTTATTCCAGTATCAACAAAATATATTGTATGGGTTGAACTTATTGTTATTCAATTAATTACACCTAATGTTTCATTTCTAGGTAAATTTCATGCTATATTTTTATGAAAGATGATTTTAAAAAAAAAGAGCGTTGAAGTATATAGGTAGAAATTTGTCTTTCTTTCAGACTTTGATAGACGTTATTGACATATGGCGAAAGACCATATATCAATAACAGTTCGTTAAAAAAAAGTGTTTCAAGACAGATAGAATAAAATAATCTCCTTGTAATTAGCAACAGCTTTCTAAGTTACTTTGATTATTACTTGTTCTTTTTTTCGTTTGATTTAGGTCATTTAGCAGGAATTTTAGTTGGTATTTTGTATACAAAAGGTCCATTACGATATATTTGCCATAACATACATAATTTAATATTTTAGTGCTTGGGTGATATTTAAAAAAAATAATATATGGATGGCAATAAATGAATTGTGTTATTTTGTTTTTGGAAAAAATTTCAATGCAAAAAAAAAAAGCGATAAATATTCTCGATCTTCGAAAGAAATGTTTTAGTGATACTGATCATATAGATTCGTGTAGTGTTCAACATCTTCTTGTGTTTATTTGTTTCATTTTTTTAAATTATTTATTTCATTTGTTTGTCAATAGCTGCATTAAATTGGAATTCTGTAAATAAGTTGTGAAGTTGTCAATATGATCTTCGAATAAAAATATGTGAATAAATTGTTCTTGAATGTCAAATTTTGATATAAATATAAGATTTTCCAACTCAATACATTTTTTGTTTTCATAAGGTTTATAAATAAATAATGCTCAATGGATTTCAGAATGATGATAGAAGAAATCAATGAAGATTCAATTTACAAAACTATAAAGACAAATTTATTAGATATAGACATTCTTGAAGCAGAGTAATACGTAACTAAAACAGGAGTATTCAGATATACAACTTCGTATTATATTTATAAAGAAAAATGATTTTGAGTATACTAGACTTGCCTAATGTGTGCAGTTTATATGCGCCATGTTATTGGTTTTCCTACAGAACTTTTGTTAAATTTTTCGATCGTTGCAACGTAAATGAACGAGATTCATCATCATAAACTAATTCGAACTGCTCATGTATTGTTACATAAGCTGTAATCTGTGTCTAACAGTAATGAATATGAAGTTCAATATTGAAATCATGCTGAGGCCCGCGTGGAGATTTAAACCAACATTGTCACTTGTTATGGATGTCCCACTAGTATGAACATCAAAGCTTGTCCTACTACAAAAAGAATAGACAAAGCATTACTGAACATACAGCCGATTTCGAAAGTTCCAAAGGTCCTAAACAGAATTCAGAAGAGCTGAATAGAATTGAAAGTATCGAAAAGTTGATTAGAACTACAAAAAAGTTGTTTATATCTTTTCATCAAAGTACAGGCACGATTTTCATCATCAGATGATTCTATATCAGAATTTTTCGATAGATAATCCACATTAACTTCAACAAATTCTATTTTTTTTGTCAGATTCAAACAAAGCAGCCAACTGTTTCGTTTAAATAGGACTTCTTGTTGACCTTGAGTGTGGGTTTGAGTGAAAATAGAATACACATCCACAGCCACACCCGCCGTTACGCAGGCATGCAGGTCCAATCGGTGATTAGCCGAAGTTTTAGAAACTTGCAATTCCTTTATTACAACTCTTACTGATTTCGTATATAAAATAGTGAGAAAACGCAAGTTCTGCACACAGTTATCGTTGGAATCTCATGAGTGTTTATATGTATATGAATCATCAAAAAAAGTAACATCGTGATTAAAAACAAAAACACTAAACAGACAATACTTGGATATTACGAAACAGTCGCTCACACCAATAGAAAAGATAAAAGAGAAAGAGGCAAATGTTCTCAGAAGTCGATATATATATATAATAATGCTATGTTCAGATAGTATATAACCTGCGATTTATTCTTTAGTGATTTTTTTTACTCTTTAAGCATAGAAACTATTTTTCAATTCAAAAAGTGTGAAAATTGTTCTCTTGTTATCATTTGTTTTGTCGTTGACATTTATACTTGAATAAATTGTTAAAAAATATATTAATTCACGTTTCAAACGAGTATCTGTCCCATAAGTAATTTATATATTGAACTAACTTTAGTCGTCTCTCTTTGCTTATGATCTTATTAGATGTGTATTCATTCTATTGATAATCATTTTAATCAAATTATTCTGTCAAATGGAAGAAAATTTAAATTTTTGTAGTCTTCTTTAGTGTAGGAATTTAAAAGATGAATGAAAAATTTATATTTGCAATTTAGATACATTGACAAAAATTTTTAGGGAACATACATTAATCAATTTTCTGCTTTTACTTCTGATAGAACTATGAAAGATAGTCCTTGTAAATATTTTTAAGCATCTATTTTTGCATCGTCGAATCGATTGAAGTTTATCACGTGTAAAACATACTTTTTGAATTTTGTTTTTCTTTTAAATGTAGAAAACGGTGTGGTAGGGTGTGTACATGAGTGTGTGTGAGCACGATTGCTGTTGTGCATGTGTATGAATAGAAGGCTCTCAACAACATGTACATCCTCACGTGAACGAAAGGATAATTTTTATGAGCCATTGTTTTTCTTTAGTGCAGATTAACAATTTTTCAGTTTGTAGTGCTTTCGATACTTTGCTCTTTGACATTTTCACTTTTTACGCTTTGCCACTTGGCTCTTTCACCATAAGTTATAAACAATGAAATATTTGAGCTTTTAGTTTTTAAGAAAGAAGCATTTTTTATTTGTAGATGTAAATGGTTCTCCTTTGATAATCAAACTTAGGTTGGATGCATCCAAACCATAGGAAATTTTCAATCTTGTATGATGATGTTTTTGAGAGGTTTTTAATAAACAAGAGTCAAACTCTAAAAAAATGGTCCTGTTTTGATAGAAGTGCTTTTTCTGTTACAATAACTTCAATAGAGTCCAAGTAGAGTGTGGGTGTTTGTCTTTCTAAAGTAGGTCCACATTCATACTCACGACGTCGAACGACACTATGCGAAACCTGATGATCGGATTCTGGTCGAACTCGAAGGATTTTGTTATAATTTCCACTTTGTGTAGGATGACAATTCTCGGTTGTTTTTGGGAGTGAGGGTAGGAGCTAAAAATTTGCAGAAAGTATTATCAAAAATTATGGAACATAGTCAAAAACTTGGGGGGGGGGGGGGGGAAAGCCTCTGCCTGCCTACCTCTAATCAATAACCCTGTATGAGATAACAACACGGGTTGTTCACCCGATAGTAAATCAATGGTGTTCTATGGTACAATACTTGCCGTTTTATTGTTCGACATGAAATTGACGATCAAATGATCACAACAACTTTATTTCTAATACAAATCTCTGAAAAAACATTCTACAAAAAAATATACAGTCAGACAGGTCTAACCAGTATGGCTTTCATTTGAACAAAGAATTTTCATTAACACTTTTATTTTTGTCTCAAGACTTATTGCTATTTGTTTCATAGCATTAGCTTGTCCTTTCTCCCATGTACCAAGTGGTAATTCAATTTCTGACTTTTCATGAGTTTTTGTTATAACAGTGATACCGAGATCGTCATTAGGACTGATAGACACATGCCAGATTGTTGTAATAACATGTTTACGATTCTTTGGCCATTCAATAGTTACTTCATCGTAGTTTTCTAAGCGTTCACTATTGCCTGACCAACGACTCTTCTCTGCAGTTGCCCAACGAACAGTAGAATTCGTATAACGACTGGCAATGTATTGTTTGGCATGATCAATAAATGTTGCTGCACGAAGAAATCGATCGTTCATATTGAATGAAATCAATGGAGAATTTTCTATTGATTTCGGCCAGTAAGCGGTTGTATCCATACTTCTTTCATTAGCGATCAATTCACGTAGAAATTTAAATTGAAATGTAAGCTCATCAAAAGACCATGGAAGTCCAAACTTGGCGAAACCACGATCAAATATCAAGTTTAAATGTTGTTTTAGATGATCAAATAGTTCTTTTCCATTCCATACACCTATCATAAAAGATGAAATTCTTTAGAGAAGCAAAAAAGACAAGACGGCTTTCAAGAATATTAAAATTTGATCTATTTTTCCTTTCAAAACGTGCGCAATGATTTTGATAGAATGCAATTTCCTTTAAGCAATACTTTTACATACCTGTAATTTCTCGTAATTTCATCTCAATTAATTTGATATTTTCGGATAGTTCATGTGGTGCTTGATTGTTGATATCTTTTGGTGCTCCTGGTACTCGTTTAGTAATTAGCCAAAAGAGAATGGCACATATATGACTCATATCAATGGTCGGACTTCGAAGTTCGTCGATACGTTGTTGTTCATGGGTAGTTGATAATTCGAGTTCTTCCATTGATCGTAACTCGAGTTGTGGTACTCGATAGAACGTGGGATTGGTTGTAGCTGGATCAGTTACATGAAAAATTTTTTCAAATTCATTACAATGTTGTTTTCCATACAATGTAAAATCGTCTTGTTTACTAAATGGAATATTACTATCATTGATCACTGCTAAATTAAAATTGATAATGACAAATTGGAGGTTATTCATATTTGTCAATTTATTTTCATATCGTTGAAAATTTTTTACAATAATATTTTGAGGCTCAAGATTTCGATGGATAACATTGCAAGCATGAAAGTGTTTGATAGTCAATAATAATTTTCGACTAATGACAATAGCATCAGAAATGCTTAATTTTCTATGTTCATTCAAAAAATCTTTGAGTGTTATGCCTTGAACATTTTCTATAATAATCCAAAATTTATCCTGATTTCTACTTTGTTTATCCGATGAATGAATATTGTTTGTGATCAATTTTGGAACAGAATTGAGACCTAAATAGAAACCATGGATATTGCCAAAAACAAACACATTGTAGAGAATAGTTATACTTTGTAACTTTTCCAGAATCTTCAACTCATGACACGCTCGAAAACGAGCATTATTGTTATCATCGCCCGACAGAAAGATTCTCATGGTGGCTTTTCGATTTTCATCACTTATTGATACCACAGTGTACTCTTCGATTTTTTCATGAGAATTTTCAAATGTTTTTTCATTAATCCAACGCCACTGTGGCGCATATTTGGCCATATCAGATGGCATATCGATAGAGGAATTTGAGAAAATAGATTTCGTTGGATGCTTCTTCGGTTTTGATGGAGAAGGCTTGACACGATCTGCCCAAGTTTGATGTTGAGCAGATGAAATTGGAGAAGGATTTTCAACATTCATAATCGATTGTACATCCTGAGCAAGAGATTCAGGTACAATTGATTTAAACTTCACGGCCGAAGGAATGTGAGATGATTGTAGTTCATCTCTCATTAGAACTGATTCAGCTGGTTGGTAATTCCAATCGAATATCGCGACATTATATTCTACCTGACATTTTATCAATCGAGAAGATTGATCAGAAAAACGTTGATTGTGCCATTTATAAACTAGTTTACGAGTATAATTCTCTGACACTTGATTTGCATAATAGGCCGTTCTCGTCCCATTTTGACATGGTTCGGGTGAGAGTTTGACATTGTGCATCGATTTGCTTTCAATATTTAGACGACTCATGAGCTGTTCAATTGTTACATTCGACGGCAAGTTACATAGTTTAATACGATAGGTTGAATTTCGCTCTTCTAAACAGTCAATAGAAGCTGATCTTATGTAACAAAAAAAGTGATCTTTTACTTCTTGGTCGACTATTTGATTTGAGTGTTCTACGTTCATTATGACCAAACCAACAATTTTCATCTTCACATGTGTCCGGTTCATTACACACCCAGTGTTTGAAATTGCAATCATTCTGGTATTTACATTGACCTATTTCGAATTGCTCACAAAGTTGAGACGGATGCACTTCTTCTTGGATGCATTCACATTGTATTGTGTAACTGTTCAATTGTCTTCTTCCTAGTTTTTTGACAAGTTTTTCAACAATTTGATAATTACCCGAATGTTTTATCCAAGCTTCCCAAGGCAACATTTCAGAGATCTCATTCTCCTCTGGGATCGCTTGTGGCCGAATCAAAATATCGGCAACATGTACTTCAAAGATCAATGATAGTTGTTCGCTGGTAATACTTGGTGGTAAATTCGTTATATGAACACAGTATGGACGTGGATGATTGTTCGGACCATCTCCTAGTTAAATCAAAACGAAGTTTCGATGATTTTTTCTGAGATAACTATGATTTATTTTCGACTACTCATTGTTCTATCCTTAAGGAGAGTCAGACGTCAACGCCTAATGTACAGTATGATTTTGTAACGAATAAATAGAATAAACGAATGAGATTGCAGTGAAACTCTCCTAACAAGATCGCCTCAAGCTTAAGGTCCATTTAAACATTGGAAAAAAATGTATCTGAGCTAATTTAGATTTTTGTTCTCTTTTCTCTGAAACTTTTTTCAAGTTTCAAAGAAAACGAGGAAAAGAAAGAAGTGGATTTCCATGTGAAAATTCTCCCATCGTGTAGAAATCGATATAATGTTTTGATTATATCTATTTGTACACATCTCAATCATAACTTACGATCTCGTCTTCGTGGTGCTTGCATTTCTTTTTGAACTTTCACTTTGATTTTATTTATTTCATGTGATCCTGTGTAGAGCATAACTTGATCGACCGAATCATAACTAATCAATACAATTGAAAATGTAAATTATTCAAATTAATTGACTTTAATTCTCTTACTCCTTGAATTCGAGAAAAGCTTTTTTTGCATGTTCATTTTCTTCCCATTGACAACCGATAATGTGACCAAATTGTTGAAAATATTTTCGCAAATCAACTTCATTCAATTGAGAACGATTTAGTCCATCATCTGTCGATAGATGTATAGCAACAGAAAGTATCGTTGTTGGACGGCCATAATGTTGCATTTTATTCGGTATATTTCGTACAATTTCTCGTGATTTCCCACGAATCTTGATTAAAGATCGGTTTGTGATGACGATGTTCAAATCAGTTTGGTTATGAAAGTTAAGAAAAGCACGGCGAATCTCTTGACCATCCGCACTCGCTAAGAAACAAAAACAATAATCCTAAAATTTTATTGACAATCGTCAACTCACTGATAGTCTTCCCCCAACCAACATTATAGTGTTCATGATGAAGGTATTGTTTTAAAGCTTTTTTGATGTCTTTTTCGGTTATCTCCGTACCACAACTGTTGATAACTAGACCATAGCGGCATCTTTCTAGATCAGCTTCTGTCACTTCTTCAGATAATAAAAGCTACACAAAAACAACAAAAGAAAATGCATTGTATAGAATAAAATTCGTATTATGCTTACCTGAGCCATATTGACAACTGTTGAACAAAAGTTTAAGATTCGAATGAAAATCTAAAAAAGATTAGTTTCTAAAGTCTAAAACCAGCAACAAGCCAATTTTCTCTTCTTACAAATATATCAATGTCTGCAAATAGTAAGCTGAGAAATACTTAAATAAAAAAAGAAAGAAAGAATGCGTTGGAAAAAACCCAGATTAAAGAATGACAAGAAACAAAAATACCCAAAGTTTTTCTTTTTCCGCTTGAAAATAAAAAATACCCAACACTATTCTTTATTCACTACCTGTAAGAATAAAACATACGAGTATTATGATTGTCAAAAACCGAATTGATTTTATTTGTCAATTTGCACAACAAACACTACAAGAAATAAAAACATCGGAATGCTAGTGTGATGAATAATGATGGAAGAAAAGAAAAAAAAACGTGACTTCGCAACAAGCAATACGATATATTTCTAAAGAGCAGAATTCTGCACATATTTCTATGACAAAAAGTCAAGTTTTAGTTCTTTCCAAAAAATAATCAGAGGTGAAAAGGAAACGTACACTTTAAAGTCTATGAACATGTGTTGACTGATTAGCTTTATCGTTTCGTTTTCTTCTAGTGCATTATATGCCAAACATATGACATATGCAATAACGATAAAATAATCGAAACAACTGGGAAAACATCAATTTCGTCGAATACAAAAAATGTCAATTGCAAATTTGTCGATAAAATTTGTCGATTCGACAAAATTTAAATCCAAATTTGTCGAATTCGACAAATTTTATTAAAAAATGTCGATTATGGTATTGTCAAGCTTCGTTTCGATGAATTTCAAATTCAGTTATAATCA